CCACAAAATACAAATGAAATATAAAGTAGATAATAAGTAACACAAAATCTAAGGCACTTTAAGTAGCGTAGATGCAGCAATACAGTAGAAAAAAAATACAAGAATATAACAGAGAATGTATGTTGCATGGGAGCAGCATGTGCAGCAGTCAACAGTCACCGTGCAATTATGCATGTGCAAACAGAATGTAAACAGTACATCACATATTTCCTGGTAATAAACTCCTCAGCTGTTTAGGAGTCTGATGGCAGAGGGAAAGAAAGAGTTTTTCAGTCTAGTGGTCCTACATTTCACACTTCTGAACCTCCGGCCAGAGGGCAAAGAAGTGAACAGTCCATGCTGGGGGTGGGTGGGATCTTTGAGGATGGAGGCAGCCTTCCTACGCACCCTGCAGTGGTAAATGCTCTGCAGAGAGGGCAGTGGATTGCCAGCTGCACCTCATTGGTTCTATCCTTACTTATGCCCTGCTCACCTATCACTCCCTTGCCAGTTTAATCTTGTTCTCAGGCCCGTTCGATTGTTGTTTTCTTGTATTTGACCATTTGTCTCTCACCCTTAGTTCTCCTAGCTCCTACTGCTGTTTTCCTCCTCCACGGACATGTCCTCCAGTCCCTGGACCTACTCTGCCCTTCCAGTCTCCACCATTTCAGGTCGATGCACAGTCACCTTAGCTCATCTGTACAAACTCCTGCCTTCTTTCTCCACAGTCACCACTGTCTCTCCATCGACCAGCTCAGGAGTGACCTCAGCGTCCGCAGCCCTTCCTACTCCCATCCATCTCACCACAAACTGGTTTCTCTGCTGCTGATCGACACCCGGTTACTCCCAACATTCTACACTTGCCTGTTTTCTTATTGGCTTTTTCTCACTTCATTGTAAATAAATTTAGCACTGCTTGCACCGAAGTCAGCTACCTGGGTCCGCCTATCTTTACTGGCTCTCTTCCGTGTCCAAGCGGACATAACATTAAAAGAGATTAGAAATGGATTCCAAGTGTCAGTAAAGGTTGGTATATTATTCTTATGGGTAGATGATATTTTCTCTAGTGTGATATATTCTATAAGACGACTGGTCCAGTGGTTGAATTTTTAGATTTCCAGTTTATAAAGATTGTTTTCTTGGTGATAGTTAGAGAGATAAGAAGTGGGTTTTTATAATTAATTGGTAGGTGGTTGACTTCTGTGACATTACCGAGCAGGCAGAGTGACGGGGATGGGGGTATTCTACAACTCAAGATAGTGGAGAGTTTCTCTGTCACTGCTACCCAGAGGGAATAAACGGGTGAACAGGGCCAAGTAGCATGGAAGTAATCATCGGCGCAATCCAGAGTGCATTGTGAGCAGCTATCTGTATCAATGAAACCCATTTTAAACATTTTAACTTGTGTGATGTGAGTCCTGTGAATAGTCTTGTATTGTATAAGCTGTAAGTTTACATTGGTAGTCATGGAAAAGATATTATTACAGATCTCGGTCCAGAAGTCGGGGCTAGGGGGGAGAGATAAATCCGTTTCCCATTTAGTCACCGGTAATGTTATTGTTCCATCTGTATTTGACATTAGTTTATAAAATTGAGATATAATCTTCTTTTAGTTTGTAAATTTCATTATCTCCTCAGTTAGCATGGAAGGTTGCAGGGGGTTGTTGATTATATTGATCTTTGATTTAATTATGGATTTTAACTGTTGGTACTTGAGAAATTCTCCTCTCCCAACTCCGTACTTCCGGACTAATGTATTAAATGGTATAAACTGGTTGTTTTCACATAGATGATGAAGGGGAGTGATTCCTTTGTGTTGCCATGTTGGAAAGTAGACAGGATTATTATGAAGTTGAAAGTCAGGGTTATGCCAAATTGGAGTGTATGTACATGGTGTTAATGATGGTTTAGTGGTTTTGTTTCCACCAGGCTGTTACGAGTTGCAGAGATTGTGATATTTTTGAAATAGTTCATTTTCTTAAATGAGTATGGTCTGTAACTGAAGTATTTTTGCATTGATTTTCTTCTAGTTCTATCCACGAGCTATTACAACTATCCTTCTGAATCCACTGAACTAAATTTTGTAATTGATTTGCTAAGAAATAATACTCAAAATTTGGTGCTTCTAAGCCACCTTGTGATTTGTTCTTCTGGAGTGTTGACAGGGAAATTTTGGGTTTCTTATTATTCCAGTAAAATTGCGAAGTTAGAAAATCGAGTGACTTGAACCATTTATCTGTTGGTGTTGAGGGAAGCATTGAAAACAGGTAGTTAATTTGTGGTAAAGTTTTCATTTTGACTGTAGTAATTCAGCCAATGAGTGACAGTGGGAGGTTGGACCAGCGTTTGAAATCATCTATCTTTTTTTATCAGAGGGGTGTAGTTAAGGTTAAAAGGTTCTGACGGCCTGGGAGAAATACCTATGCCTAAATATTTAATGTTGCCAGTGTGAAGTGGTAGGGGACAGTCTTGAGCTGCAGAGTAAATGATATTCTTAAACTTCTATTGCCTCTCTTGTTTGTTGGGGTTCTAACTTAATCTTTTTCTTTATTATTGATTCCTTTTCATTATCAACTGATCTGCCAATTAGTTTCTAGATTTATCAATTAGCTGTTTTGTCTGTAATATCTAAAAAAAAACTATCACAGTCTTGCACAGGCTAAGGTGACATCTTCAGATAACTTGCTTTGTCAGATACTCAGTTTGCAAAGTTATAAAACAGAGAAACAATGAAATGTTTGGCATGTTTGCTTGGAAAATTACTCAAAATCTTAATCAATTATCAAAATAGCTGCCAGTTCTTGTTAATCAATGATCGACTAATTGTTACAGCTCTAGTTTGTTTGGTGTAATAACTGACTAAAGCTTTCTCTCTCCACTCATGATGCTGCAATCCCCAAATGTTCCCTTCTTGACTTAAACTGTGTACAGCACATGTCTTTTTACTTCATGTGATGTTGTTTGGCAGGATCAAATACACTGAACAATAAGATCCCAGGGACAGAAGTAAAAAGACAGAGGTGGTGTCCAGGTCAAGACTCAATATGTTAGTGCTAGTGTCTGTAACACAAAGAAGACAATGCACCTCAGGCTGACGTTTTTCCTGAATAAAAAGTCCTGACACACTTCCTGGAATTTCATGGTAACTTTATCTGGGATTGCTAAACAAGAACTACCTCCTCTTTGACTGTGTGTATGAGCAAGCATGGGACATGTGTTTTTGTGTGAGCTGTTGTATATGTGACACTGTGTCAAGAAAGATACTGAGATCTCTGTCACCCTCTATTTTTCTGCTTCACCTTCTTCCTGTGTTTCTCCTTACCCCACCATTAAAAGAAAATTGATATGTCATAGCAAGTAATTAAACCTGCAAGAGAGGATACACACACACGTAACTCAGAGGAAAGACTGTAAAGTTGAGGGATACATTACAGTAAGATAAAAATGCGCTCCCATATTACTCTACCAATTTCAAATGGTAATGAGTTTTGTCAAAAAAAAAATCCCTTTACTGGCTTTCAGCATTTTAATCTGCTCTCTCACATATACATACACACTAACACACACTTCTCCAGAGCAACAGTAGCTTTGTACAGCAAGTCAGTTCCCATGGAGTCAGATGTCGCCCTGTGGAGGGGACTTCATGCTGCTTCTCTGTGTTTCTGTGTGTATGTGCAAAGAGGAGATTTCATTCATACCTTTCTCCCAACACATGACGAAGGGGCTACAGCCACTTGCCGTCATGGAAACACATGTCTGTCCCTCCTTGTGTCTGTTTGCACCGAGGACAGACATGCAGCTTGCAGCTTCACAACCATGCATTACACACAACACACGTACTTCTTGTGTAAAGAAGTTACATAAGTGGACACACTACGCTTCTGACAAAACTGCAAAGATACTCTCATATCACCCAAATACTACACACACGCACACAGTCTCCAAGGTTGTTAGCCAACAGTTACTTCTCAAGGCAGGAATCCTCAGAAAGGTCAATTTTCTGGTCTGCTGACATTTTGTATAAAGTGTCTAGATGCTACAGAAAACACTTCAACAAAAAAAAATCCCATCCTGCAAAGAGATCCTTTTTTGTTAAGTTTTGTCTTCTTAGTCTTTTCCTGACATCCACAGTTGAACAGGACCAGAAAGATCTCCAGAGAAGTGAAGTTATTCCCATCCACAAACTTCTTTTGCTGTCCACATCTGACTTTCTACTCGGCCACCCCTCTCTTCTGACAACACAATGTTTATTTTTTGCCTGATTTCTGCCTCATGCCTGCGCTCCGTAGTTACCCAGTTGCCGTGGAAGTGTCAAGTGGCCATCGCTCAGGAGAAGATTTGGGTTCTTTTTTTTACTCAGTGGTGTCCCTGCGACAATAAGAAGACTGCTCCTCCAGCAAAAGTTCAAAGCCAAATTCAACTTGTACCCTGCTGATCCAAATGGATATCACTCACAAGGAGAGACGATTACCGTGCCCAGGGAGCAAACAGAAAGTTCTTCTAGTGGAAACAACGTCAGAGAAAAGAGGGAGCCGGGAAAACAAAGGAATCAGGGACAGAGGGTACAGAGAAATGCAGCGATTGTTTTGAGATGAATAATAGGAAAAGGAGGACACAGCAGCACAACTGAAACTAAGTTGAGTGGGGAATGAGAGAGATAGAGAGCTGTTGGAGGAGCAGGAGGAGCTACAAACTATTAATATGCTAATCCTGTCCCTTCCATTGATTGAAAACCCCTCCCACTTCTGTATATTAAGCTGATCTCAGAACAGCCCTTATGTTAAAAGGATATTTATATTAGTGTAACTGAAAAGAAAAGAAAAATTATACAAAATGTTCTTTGAAGCCCATCTATTTTCTATCTTCCACTGTACACAGCACTCCACCAAAATCCCAGTTAGAGCTGAATCTCTAACAAGTAGGTTTTCTTAGGGGAGTTCTCCCAACACTTCAATCTCTACTCTAATAGTACACATTATAAATAATGAACTAATATATGAAAGTAATATTTAGTAGTCTAAATGGCAAAGATATCCAACCAAGATAGGAAAAATAACCAGAACATGCACACCCTCATTAGAATACACTGCAGTAAAAATAAATAAAGCAAATGAAAAACATCCTCAAACAACAAGTACTTAACTTCTTTGCCAACTCAGATGTTGCCCTTGCTGAGTCCAGCATGTAACCCTGCAGCTGATGTCAATATGCCACACTATCAGGTTCCAAACCACAAAGTCTCAATAACCCCCAGGTCATGCTGCACATTTAGTCATTTACCTCACACTTTAGGGGTCACAGAGTGCCTGAGGAGCTGCCCCAAGGTCTCGCCCCCAACTAACGTGCATAATATCCTGCAAGTGGCACCAATTGCTGTGAGTGTTACTGCTGACCAGATGCCAGCCACCATTAATCAAATGGACATTTATATGGCTGAGCGCATCATCCTCAAATAAAGACTTGAACAGCCCTGACTGAACTCATTTAAACATACACAGCAAATTTACAGACACCCTGTGTGACAGAAAGGCTTGCTGGACACTGGAGTGTGTGTGTGTGTACATGTGGGTTTCCTATAATTTGTACTTCATCTCAGGCATTTTCCATTGTTATGAAAATCTGTGGAAGCAGGGGGTTTTGGTACTGTGTGCGTGTACATGCGTGTGTGTGTGTGTGTGTGTGCACGTGTGCGGACTATTGAAATCCTTTTGTCAGAGGGCCGGATGCTGCCATGAATAGGAAGAGCTCTTCTGAGCATGAGCCAAAGTGTCTCTCTCTATTTCTGTCTTGGTGTGTGTTTATGAACATGTTATTTTAGCAGGGGAAGGGAAACACAACACCTACTAAGTACTAAATGCAAATAAACCTGTGAACTGTAATAGTTACTCTCATGTTCATCTTTCATCGGTGAGCAGTCTGTGTGTAGGGGGAATTCTTTACCCAAAATTAAATTACAAAAAAGAGAAAGAAAAATGAACAAGCCACATTTTCAATTTTCAGTTTTTAAATGTTAATTTTTCTTTTGAATTTGGGGTAAAATAATCCTCCATAAGTGTGTACCTCATAAATACAAACAGTTTTTTCCTCACTACTAATCTACATTATTCTTTTGCTGTTGGCTGTGTGTGTGTATTGTGTTGTGTTTTTTTAGGTAAAGTTAAAGCAGAATACCACTGAATGATTTAGCCTATTTATTTCGGACAAAGACCACTTTACAGCTTTCCATATCAAATTGTAATCCTGATAATGAGATTGCATTCAGGATCAATTGCAATTAAAGCACAAAACATGCCAACATACACTGAAGTTAAATACTGTGCCACATTACAGTGACTAAAAGAGTGTAAATGGATGTGTAACGATATAGGGAGCAACGTCTTTGTGTTATATCTTTGTTGACCCAAAAAATTAATTGCATATTAATTACTATGACATTATTATTATTATATATTAATTACATCTTTACAGTAAAAGGGGGTCCCTTGGCCTTGCAAGTCAAATAAACAAGTAAATCAGTGACAAGTTAGTTTCTAAGCAACAAACCATGTAATGAATCAGGTGTGACTGAAGACCCCGCCCTGAAAATTGTTTGCTAAGACCAGAAGGTATAAAACACATACACACAAAAGCTTACAAGAATACATCACTATAACCCTTTATGCATCCTGTCCAGTGTCCATTGTTAGTGTCTTGCTTCCTCACAGCTGGCAACGAGTGCTGCAAAACACTTTTACAGTGGACTGTGCAGTATGCTACAGTGGGGCAAATAAGTATTTGATACACTGCCGATTTTTCAAGTTGTCCCACTTACAGAGAATGGACAGTTCTGTAATTTTTACACCTCAACTCTGAGAGACAGAATCTACAAAAAAAATCCAGTAAATCACATTGTTAGATTTTTAAATCATTTATTTCCATTTTATTGCATGAAATAAGTATTTGATCACCTACCAACCAGCAAGAATTCTGGCTCTCACAGACCTGTTAGTTTGTCTTTAAGAAGCCCTCCTATCCTCCACTCATTGCCTGTATTAATTGCACC